CACAAGATAAGAATATAAGAACTAGAAAATATTCGGACCTGTATTCAAACTTCAACCTTCAGAGATATTACACAAGCGGACTTCTCAAATTTTCAAGTTTAGTTTTTGGAACTTCTCTTGATGATTTGAGCTAGTGGTATCATTACCTATTTATAGAGAAGATAATGATGAAATCAATAATGCCGAGTGCACAGAGGGGCCTCATCGACGCATTATTCAGATTCTCCATTATCAAAAGTGATTCTCTATAATTGCTAGACGACATTATAAGATAAGGATAGGACCTTACAAAGCTTACAAGATATGGACAGGTTCCATATTCGAGTAAGATATGGACAATATAAATTAGATGCTTGATTATGACAGGTTCATAATTCAGCATAAATATCTCACAAGACGCATCCATCGGCCTCTTATGTGAGTGTGAGTGTGGCTGAGGCTCTCTCATGTTAGTATAAGTCCATGTTGCATTTTCCATGCCATTTTAGTCATATTACATTGCGTATGCCATTACCTCGGTTTGCGCGCCCGTGTGCACGCCTTTCAAGGCACTTCATTTTCATCCACCGGCCTCTTATGTGAGTGTGGCTGAGGCTCTCTCATGTTAGTATAAGTCCATGTTGCATTCTATATGCCATTTTAGCCCTATTGCATTGCGTATGCCATTGCCTCAGTTTGCGTGCCCGTGTGTACGCATCTCGAGGCATCTCATTTTTACAGCATAGTGCATACTAGGTTGTATCTTAGATCGCATTCATATATTTCCTCGGTTTGTGTGCTCGTGTGCACGCATTTCGAGGTATGTCATTTCATAGCATTGTGTATGTTAGGATTGTATCTTAGTTGCATTTCATGCATGTCATGCATATTGCATCGTGTTCAGAATAGGAGTTAGCCCGGGCACGGGAAACGAGGTGCATTTTGTACTCCGAGTGACGGAATGTGTCTCAATTCCCCAGTCACCGACACTCCGGATCATCCATGATGGAGTTAGGTCTTGTTGTGTTTTCATGTGCATTCATTCTATATTGAGTTGTGCAATTCGACTCCTCGGCCATCATGCCTCGGTATGCGTGATTGGTGGCACGAGGATCGAGACATGGATATATTTGTGAAAATACATTGCTATGCCCCTTTCCTGCTTTCTGTTGCAGCAAAATGAAGAATCAGTAACTTTTCGAGACTTGGCACGCGTTTCTAGAATAACTGCTAAACAGAGGCTAATTGGGGCATCCCGGTGGATTTCCGCGCAAGACAACCCGGACATGCATCATCCATCAGAAGCAAGGCAGTCCCTGGCTTGCCTGCTAGTTTTATTTATTTTCTTAGTTGATTTGTTAATTAATTAGGAATTTGTATATTATTCGAACTGTAATATTTGGACTGTAATATTCTTTTATTCGGGACTGTATATTTATTCGGACCCTCTGCGCGAGGGCACAACTGTAATAAGTGTGCGTGAGTGTGATGTATGTCTTCCAACCCCACGTCTTTCTCCCTTTTATTTATCTGCTTATGGTGGTTAGATTAGGGCATATTTCGATTAGCATACAGTATGATAGCATGTTTGCATTCATTCATCTGTATTGCATGCACCGGGCTCGGCGCATCATACTAACTGCATTGGTATTTCAATTACAAGTTGAATACATGTTAGCTGTAGCATCTATTATACCATGTTTATTGAATAGCGAGCCTGCTATAGTTTGCATTTTTGCATGTGTTGCATTAGGCATTTCTGTATACCTAGGATCATGCATGATTTCTGATGAGTTTTTGTTTTGGCTTGGAGTACTCGGTAAGTTTTATGCTTTAGCATCCTTCCATCCGTGTGAGTGACTGCCATGAATAGAATGCTTACCATGAGGCTATATGCTTATGTGATATAACTGCCTGAATGCTTGTGGGTGAAGGTTGGGTTATTTGGATTGGAACAATTCGTTGACTATGAGTTTTTTTTTGTTTTAAGCCCACTAGATAGTGGCAAAACCATCTTTTCTAAGCCCACCCGAGGGTGGCAAAATCTACATTTTTAGCCTACTTGCGAGTAGCAAAGCACCTTTCAAACAAGCAAACATGAGATGTTTTGTTCCAATCCAGGCAACCTGGTCTATACTTGTATGCTGTGCGCATCATATAGTAACCTAGGCTAATAACCGAAATAAGAACATACAATGTTTTCAAAAATAGATATCATGGTTAGTAGAGGCCGGTCTATGACCGGGCGAGCGGGGGTGCTCACGAAGTGACCTTCCCCAATCGTACCCAAGTTCCCGAGCCGAGGCAACTTTGGTGATGACGGACACGTGGCCTTTGGCAACGAGTCAGGGTTTCCTAAATTTCCCAAAATAAAATATTTAGGTGGCGACTCTGTATCTGGCAAAGCAGTCCATGTTTGGCACTTCTTTCAAAAATCTGTTTTCTCAAAACGATTTGCCGGATTTGGACTCTTTGGTTCAGATTTAGAACCGTGACTACAAATCGAGTTCGAGCTGTAGCGAGGTCCCCCGCGGGCTTGTTACACAGCCAACTTAACAATCTGCATAACAACCAGTTAGTGAACATCATAAATTTTGTTGCTTACCATATTCAGCACATAGAATAAATATGCAACCCTCCAAGCCCCTGACCAGTATGTACAATGGTAGTATCCCTCAAGATGGAATAATGGGTCATAATCAATAAAAAATATTTTATAATGTCAACAATGCTCTCCATTTAAGATAAAAAAGAATTTTTCTTTAAATTATGTAAAAGATAAGATGTAGTTTTTGTTATACATTGTTTGTTGTAAATGACAAATCTGAAATTGTCAACAAAGAATATTGGTTAGTTTAGCTTTTGTCGTGTACTAAGCCTTTTGTTTTTAATACCAAATTCTTAATTGTTTAGGCTCTCAAATTTTTGCACTTTTTTGGGAAAGCTTTGTTTTTGTCTATAATTTTATTTAGGATTTTTTTTTTGTTTTTGATGGCCTTCCTCTTGGCATGCTTCTAATGCATTACAATTCTCAAATTTTGGTCCAACTCAAATATCTTATTTTTTGTAGTTTCTTTTTATCGTTTATTCATTTTGTGTTTGGTGAGAAACTATCTTAGTTTGTTGTTTCCTATTTGAATTGGTCATGACACACCTATTTAAGAGAGGCTTCAATGACACATCTAATTGTACTTGGTGGACAGCTATCACTACAACAAGTTGGGCCTTGAGTGACGAAATTTTTTTGTCTCCTGTTGTTGTTGGAGTAAGGGCTTCTGATTGTAGGGAATTGGTGACCTTGACCTCATTTGAAACTTTGTAAATTTGAAATAAGGGACAGCACATAACGCACATGTGATAGCGTTACATTTTGAGCAGAATGCCCTTGATTGAGCAGTCAGGTCCCTTCGGCAAGTTACGTGTCTGGACCGTTGTTGGTTGCTAGGCCGTGATTCTTCGAACTGGTGGCTTGACAATCCAATTTTGACTGCGGAGTTTTTCAGTAGAAATCTTTTCTCCTGCAATTGCTTTAACTCCTTTGGATGTCAGGAAATCAGTTACACCTTGGACTTCATAGGCAAAGCCAACATTGAGAGTGTTTGACAATCTTCCCACTAGTCCTCTTGTGACTAGAAGATTTGCTTCACCATTTTGCCATTCATCATAGCCTCTTGTTTGGATTACAATCTGAGCATGGTTGAAGAAGTCAGCTATGGTCATCATAGTGTTGGGAATTATGTAGACCATTTGAATCCCTCTTGTAAGATCTACTTCCATGGAGGCAAAAGTTGCTTGATCTCCCCGCCATCTAGTATCACGTAGAACGATGAGAGCCAAAGTTCCTTGTTCAATACGATGAAGAACTTGTAATCGTATTTGAACGACTCCTAGATGAATGTACTGCATGTGACTTCTTTGCAACTGGTCAAAGCTTTCTTCTTGGATAAAGGGTCTTTCAATTTGTGTTTCTCCGACACAAAGTATTGTTTCTTCAGAACGATGAATATATACACGATGGTGTGCATCATCACGCCTTGATCGGTAGAGAACTTCTGCAGGGGCTATGTTTGCTCTGTCAGCCATGGATAATTGGAGCTGAGCTTCAGGTGCAATTTGTTGCTCCAGAGTGTCAGAAGTTGGTTGTTTTCTTCTAAATTTCTGAATTACTTTCTTGGCTTTTCTTTCACGAACAAATTTTGCCCTTTGATCTCGTCGATATTCTCGAATTTGATCTTCGATGAGAGGTGCTCCTGGAGCTGCTGAGGTTTGCTGAGGACGATCTGTTACTCTGGGAAGAGTAACTGTTCTAGAAGTGGTTCTAGACATCATTTGATCTTTGCTTTGTCAAGTTCGTCCTGTAAGAGCTTATAGGGGTTTCTGTGAACTTTAAGTACTCCTTTTGGCTCTTTTGGTTTCTCTTTTGGGCCAAGAGTTGATTTCTCCTCGGTAATCTGGGTCAATGACTCCTGCGCCTTCATTGATTCCATTTTGTAAGGCTAGCCCAGATCTTGGAGCTATACGACCATATGTTCCTGGTGGAATTTCTAAGGCCAGGCCTGTAGAAAGTAAATCCAGCGACAAAAAGACAAACAACCGTAAATCCAGCGACAAAAAGACAAACAACCGTAAATCCAGCGACAAAAAGACAAACAACCGTAAATCCAGCGACAAAAAGACAAACAACCGTAAATCCAGCGACAAAAAGACAAACAACCGTAAATCCAGCGACAAAAAGACAAACAACCGTAAATCCAGCGACAAAAAGACAAACAACCGTAAATCCAGGTCCTATAATAATTTCAAATAGAAATTACGGAATATACAATAAGACGCCTACTATTTACTGAAACAATTAGCATCTATATCAATTTTTGGGTGTTTGAAGAGGCATGGTGTCACTAATTAGTAATTTCCCATGAAATAAACTTGCTAGTGTCACCCCAGAAAGTAATTGAGATGTAATGACACATCAAAAAGTTTCTACATAATTGAGATGGAAAGTGAGGTTTTGAATAACTGACCATATTCTGCCACTTGTGATATATGCCCGTAATATCTTTCTTTTTCCACTCCTCGAGATCAAAAAAGTTCATCCCATATGCCCACCCACAAGCGTTTGGATCAAAGTTTCTTGCAATATGTGGGTTTGAAAAGTTAAGATACTTGTCGAAACGGTGAAAGCTCTCACCACAGGTTTCCACTGCACCGTTCACTTTTCCACGGAGATCCACCGACCACAATCCTGTCAAGTCCTTCTGGACAACGATATCATCATCAAGAAACAGGATTTTATCCAACTTGGGATAAACCTGTGGGAGATAAAACCTGAGGTGGTTGAGCATTGAAAGATATTTTGGGTTCCTGTACTTCAGATTAGAAGAGCCAGCAGTGGAATGATCTGCCTTGAAATAGTACTCCTTCATGGCAGAAGACTCTAGCTGCCTCAGAACTGGGCAGTACGAGGAGTTGAGCCACTTAAATTCATCAACATTTTCAACATGGATGGTAGCTTTTCCAGGCGGGTTCAACAGAAACCACATGTTCATAGCTCCAAAGTTCAGTTTATCAGTAACAAGATGAAACACATGTTTCTCTGGCTCCTGCAACACAGCCAAATGGCATATTTAGGTTAGAGAAGGAAAACAAGAAGCAAAATTTGCATCAGAACCTGAATCCTAAATCATGAGTTTCAATCACTATATCAAGACATATGGACCATATTCAATGGTGAAAGATCAACCAAAAGGGGGCACCCACTCCAAGAATGTCAATGCCAACAAAATCTATGATCAGAAGCAACTTCAAAGAAAATGATTAAAAAATGTTCCCCATCATTTTTTTTAAAAATTCAACGACAGTGCAAATAATCCAAACCATTGCAACTCTTTTTTGCATGCATATATCTATATAAGACCAATCTATTGTCAAGAGTTAATTAAGTTTACCAGAATACGCTAAAGCTCGAATGCTTCAGGTGCAAATTTCATCATACAAAGAAGTTAATATGCAAAAAAGCTTCAAAGTACGTCACTGCTTGTATTTAAAATCAAACAATAAAACCAACTAATGGACCATATTCAATGGTGAAAGATCAACCAAAAGGGGGCACCCACTCCAAGAATGTCAACGCCAACAAAATCTATGATCTGAAGCAACTTCAAAGAAAATGATTAAAAAATGTTCCCCATCATTTTTTTTAAAAATTCAATGACAGTGCAAATAATCCAAACCATTGCAACTCTTTTTTGCATGCATATATCTATATAAGACCAATTTATTGTCAAGAGTTTATTAAGTTTACCAGAATACGCTAAAGCTCGAATGCTTCAGGTGCAAATTTCATCATACAAAGAAGTTAATATGCAAAAAAGCTTCAAAGTATGTCACTGCTTGTATTTAAAATCAAACAATGAAACCAACTAGAGACGTTGGTACAAAGCTCTCTACCTTCGCATTCGTAATGGTTGAATTGACAACAACTGATGCAGCCAAGACATTGTCAGAGAAAAGTGCATAATGGTATAGCTTTGGATTTTCCAGATTCTCACTCTTGGGGAACTTTCTTTTATCTGGTGGGAGGAGATAGTAATCAATGGTTAAGCGCATGGATAAGCAGTGCACTCCATTTGGAATAGTCTTGGCCGCTAACTGGCTCAGGAATGTGCTCTGCTTCTTTGAGCTCCTAACTTGTTCATCTGCTGACTGAAGCATTGCTCTCAGCTTTCCAGTGACTACTTTGCAATCAAACAGTTGCCCTCTAATTTTTGAGAGCAGTTGACCCATAGTTTTGATTTTCTCGCGTGCACTGTATGACATTTTTTGTTCACAACAAAATGAAAAGTGCCACAACCATAAACATAAGAACAGGATGAAAAGCAAAAGACAACACATATACAATAACATTATAGTCATGCTACCTGCGAGGTAGATCAGCATCTGTAGTTACCTCCCCTAAGGCACGCTGACTTTCTTTGAGCCGATTCTGTAGTTCTTGGGCCAAGTCATACTTATTTTTCATATTTGCAATGCTTATGTATACCCTTGCCATAATGATTTGATCTCGCATCAAGCGTACAGTTGAATCAGAGTTCTCGTTCTCATTTTCTTTCCTCCACAAATTATACTTTCCCAGAACTGCAGAGTCAACTGATTTGGAACGTTCAATGGCTGCATTTTCAAGCTTTACATTTACTTCATCGTCTTGCTTTAGTAAGTCAGCTGCACGGCTTTCACGTATATTCTCTCTCAATTGCTGCAGAAAAAACTGAAAAGGTGAAAATACAAACTCAAAAACGGTTGTCACAGTTAAGAGAAGGCAGAGACATACTGATAAAAAAACAGAAGGTACAAGATGTTTTTAATGTTACAAAGGAACTAAAAAACAATGAAAGCACGCAATGTATCCATTAATGATATTTACCCTTCTTGGTAATTTTGCAGGTGTATCAACAAATTGAGAACGATCATCTGCAAGGACAAAAGGTTTATCATTTTAAATGAAAAGTGTTTAATCTAAGCAGTTAAGAGATCAAAGGGAACAAGAAAGATATAACCACCTGTAGAATCATCCTGTTTGCCTCTAGGGGTTGCTTGTTTGATGTTTGGAACTATTTGGTTTTGCTTTAAGCAAAAAACCGCAAAGCAAAACACATCATGTCAAAAACTGTAAGTTGACAGTTTTTGCATCATAAAAGATCAGGAAAAGCAGAAAGGTAAAATTCAAACAAAAAGCAGACAGTCATTCTGACCTCAACAAAAGTGGCATTATTATCAACTACAGTTTCCACCCCAACAATTTTCCAAGAGGAAGACAAATTGTTTTTTCTCAAAAAATCAAGACTCAGAGGTACCAAATCATCTGTGTTGGCTGTGATGACTTCAATCACCTAAAATATATGATTAATTAGTTTGCCAGGTAAGAGGGAAAGTGTTTAAAGTGAGAAACTACAACTACTTCTGAAAAAGTGAGTGTTTCCGCACTATAACTGGATAAACCCCTAACTATATCAACTTGCCTCTTTTGAGAAGAGAGATTTAACATCTTGCAATGCAAGCCTTTCTCTCCACTCTATGTTCTGCACACTCAAAATTTTTAACTCAGTGAATAAAAGAAGCATCCCAGAAACAAAATCAAAGTATATAAGCAGCAGCAAAAGTATACCTCTTTATGAGGACCAGTTAAAGTATCATTTTGACCTGCAGAATAAGAAAAAACTAGTTTATAAATATGAGTTATCATAACATAGAGAAAATTTAAGTGAGAGGGAGATAACAGATTAAAACAGCTATCAAAATAATGTGGTACTTGAATGAATCTCCATTCTATGATTTAAGTGATCAGTTAAATTGGCATAAAAAAAACCAAAGCATAAGAACTCAAAATTCAAACATCAAATTTGAGTCCATCTTTTCACATTTTTTTGTGCAAAACCATGCGAGGGTTTTTTTAAATCATGAAATTAGAAAGAGAAAATGGACTGCCTAAAAAATTGTTCTTGGTTTTTGCCTTATTTTTTTTAATTACATTATCACTTCCTCTTATGCATGAATGCTGCAACTCAAGATATATTTACATATAACACAATTATAGTGAGCTAGCTTAAAAATGACAAAAGAAAATATAGTCAACAACTAATTATTCTAATTCAAACACACTAAGAAGGATAGAAAAAGTCAACGCCATAATTGAGTTTAGGAAATTCAACTAAATACCTTTAAGCCCTATTTCCAAATGCAAATACTACTGAACCTATAGCCTTAAAATAACATAAAATTCATGCAAGTGTAATCAAATTACTGACCACTAGCATCATAGAATGGGGCTTCAACCCTTTTACTTAATGAAAACCATATTTTTTACTTAATGCATAACACTATTTGAACTACATTTTTGCCTTTATTTTTTTTTTAATATTTACATCCAAGTAAAAAAACCTACTCAGCAATAGTTGAGAAATAAATTTGTATATACATTATTTATTCATTTTGAATTTTTTTTAAAAAAAGGGGTAAATTACACCATTAGTCCTAATTTGAGCAAAATTTTACTTTGGTTCCTATAATTTCAATTTCATTAATCTAAACCCTACACTTGTCGGTTACGATTAACATTTTGAGCAGAAAAACAACACGTAAAACCAAAGTGAATTTCAAAAGAAATTATAGGGACATCGGTATAATATATTTATCTTTTTTCTTGTGCGGTAATTGCTAAAAGTATTACATGAGTTGCACGTGGCCTTTTTCCATCCAAATGTTAACGGTAAGTGACGGAGAAACATCATTGAAACTTGACAGTCCGTTTGGATTGAATGATTTGGAGAGAAAAGAAAATAAATGGATTCCTCTTGGATGTTTGGATTACTAAAGAGGAGAAAACTGTATTATGAAAAAAAAAAAACTAAAGAGGAGAGAAATTGATTTGTCTTACAACCACTTTTTGAATCACTCCAAAATTGGAGAGATTGGGAGATAAAAGAAATGGGATGATTACTAATTTTATGTAATACCAAAGTTGTCCATCTAAGCACTAAAGACAAAAAAGCATAAAAGATTATTTTGGTAATTTAACCGGTAAGAGTTTCTTTTCTTTTATCCTATGTAGTCGCTATAGCATTTCTGGTTTAAACAAGACCCATTTGACTTTTGGATTTAGGTTTTTTTTTCTTGTATAGTTGTTCTTGCCTTGTTTTCCACTGTTTCTCCTTGAGTTGAGTTATTGAATTGTATTGGTTGCATTTGGAACAGGTTGATAGCTTGGTTTTTAAACTTTTGTTACCCAGAATTTTGCTCCTACGCATAAGTGGTCACTTCTTGCGCTTGAGCGGACCTTGTGAACTCTCAATACTTTTGCAAGTCTGCAAAAGTACTGAGAAGTGAAATTCTACGCTTGAGTGAAACTTTCTGCGCACGAGCGGTCTCAGCTCGAGTGGCCCTTATTGCCTTTGAGCGTTGGTTTTCTGTCTGTAAAAGTACTGAGGTTGTATTTCATGCTCGAGCGTCAACTTTTTGCGCTCGAGCAGTCACATCTTTGTGTCTTACGCTCGAACGTCACTTCTTACAGTCGAGCAGACTACGCGTATATCAGTCAGTAAAAGTCACTTTGTACATCATTTTTTCATTTCACTCTCTCTCTAAACTTTCTAAAAACCCTAGATCTACACTCTCTCTCTCTAAATCTTACATTCTCTCTTCTAAAACACCTAGATCCATTGGTTTCTTTATCCTACTCCCTTTGAAAAAAAGGTAGAGCTCACTTGGAGCTTCATTTTCATCCAAGCAAAGTTAGGTTTCGGCATTGTTGAAGCTTCTTCACTCTCTCTTTCGTCTTCTAAGCTTGAGGTAAAAATTCTCCACACTCTTATATAAGTTTTACCTTGGTTATTTGCTATTTCAAAGGATTATAGTGGTTTGGGTTGTATTGGTAAAACCTAGGATTTGAAATCAAAATGATAAAGAGGAGTTTTCAAATGATCTTTTGGAAAAGCTTGTGGGTATGAAATTGGGATTGATATATGTTGAAATGAGGTGTTTCCTACATTAAAATTGATTTTCAAAGAGAAATCGGTTTTTGCCCAAAAATGTGAATGCTTGAAATTATAAAGAGAAAATGAAATTGATATGGAAATTGTGAAATTGGAATGATGATAATGATGAGGGTGGAGTTGGATATGTATTATCACTTCTATTTCGATTTTGAGGAAAAGTGTATTTTAACGAAATTTATTTATCTGTTTAGAAATATTTGTTTTGGGTTATCGAGGGAAGATAGTTATGAGTGTGTTGTAGAAATTACATGAGAATTAGGTGAATTAAAACTAATTTCTCATCCATGTGAGTTTAATATTGTTGCTTATTTAATATATTGAAAATGTATATGATTTTGAGAAAAATGGGTGCACGTTGGAAAAAGGTGTGTATCACCAAATCAAGTTGGCTTCTGTGTTCAGGGTAAAAATTCCGAAAAACGCGTGTATACATGGTTGCCAGTTCTCATGGACGAAATATCCATGAAAGATTGCATTGGTTTGAGATTTTCCCCTGTTTTCTATTGTACATGGCATGATTTGAGAATTGTGATATAAACTTGGCACGGCATGATTTTTGGAAGGAAATGTAAAACGTTTTGGCATGGGCATTGCATATGTATTCACCTTATGGATTTGTTAAGATTTATACATTGTGTTGTACTATCTCTACTGAACTTTGACTCACCCTATGTGGGAAAAATATTTTCAGATGTTGGTGATATGGCTCTATCAAAGACTTAGTTTGGGAGGACTATAGAGCTGAATTCTCAGTGTTGTATTTTTTTTTCTAGTTAATTTTGTACAAGCCTAGGGTTTTATCTGTATTGAGCTAAAGACTCACTTTTGATGTATCCAAGTATTGACTTGGAAAGTTGTAAGCCTTTAAAGCATATGATTATCTGTTTAGTTTTCATTTCTTTTCGCAATCTTGTAACACATGCTGTAGATTCAGGATGTACTGTTTATGAATGTACATCGCATTTGTCACATTTTGTATATCAAACTCTGATTAATGAAAGCTCATCAGTTCAATTATTTTTCTATTTATTAGTTGTTATGAGATGGGTGTATTGTAATTATTTCGGAGCGTTACACTATCCAAACAAGATTGGAGAGAAATCACAACCTTATATTTTCTTTTCTCTCTAGCTTAACCAAACACGAGGAGAAGAAATCCTAATATTTTTCTCTTTTTATTTTATTTATTTTTATTTTTTTATTTTCTCTCATGCTCGCTTGTTTAGGCAGAAAACATTTTTTGAAAATTATTTGTAATGTTTTCTAGTATTTGTTACAATGAAAATCGAAAGTCAACAAAAAATATTTTCTTTTCCAATGGTCAACAGAAATCAAGCCTATTTAGATAGAAAATATTTTTCACTAAACATTTTCTAAACTAAATTTTTACCACTATCACCACAGTCATTGCCACCATCACTGCCACCGTCGCCCCACCACCACCATGCCACCACCACCACCTCCAGCTCCAGCTCCACCTTCTACAACCAAACATAGAAAAATATTTTCTCTGGAAAACATTTTGTAAAAAAAATATTCCATCTGAGCGTTAACTTAACAAATCATTTATTTTCTTTTTCTCTTCTCTCCAGAGTATAATTGAAAGTGTGGGGTTTCAATTGATGAAACCGAACCTATAACGAGGAGAGTAAAATTTCGCTCAAATTAGCAGGACCAACAATATAATTTACCTCCCTCTAAAAAAAAACAACATAATTTACCATTAAAAAAAAAGAAAAACCCATACGGGATTAAAGTGCTGCTGTTCCAAATTCAATAAGCAATTAACAAAACTCAATGCAAGAGAAATTAAGACAATGTGTACATGTAATCATAAACTGACCAATCAATGTTGAAGTATAGAGTCCTCCTCGTCCGACAAAGAAAATCAACGGTGCAAGCAGTGAAAAGGAGACAAGAATCACCATCCATGACAGAGATCCACTGCCGCTTCTGTTGCCTGTACCCGACAATCCCCTCTTGACAGCCATTGCCTCTCCAAAGCCTGCAAAATTAACAACAATCAGGGGAATTAGAAAGACATAATTGACATAAATGCAAGGATGCGTGTGCAGAGACAGAGATTGAGAGAGAGAGAGAGAGAGAGAGAGAGAATTACGAGGGCATTAGAAGAAAAAACTTCCAGATTTTGTGGATTGCGAGTAAAATGTGAAATAGAGAGAGTAATCAGTGACCTAGGTGAGAGAGAGTGAGAGAGAGAGGATGTGACGAAGAGCTATCTGAAAATTCGACTTTTTGCTCTTTTTGTAATGTTGTTCTCTGTCTCTGCGATGACGCTCTTTGCTTTTCCGTTTTAATGATTGCCATTCTTTTGTAGAATTCCTAATCTGACGTCGTTTTACCCCCCATGCCTCTCGCTTTCAGGCCGACACTACTTATCTCTGAATTTTTTTTTTTTTTTTTTTTTATCGAAAAAAAAGGGTTATGAGGTGTCATTACGGCCCGAGGATTCGAACCGGATTATAGAGAGGGGTCTCAAAGAGAACACTTCCACACTCCCTCAGGATTCAACCCTAGGTCATGCCTGTGGAGACGAGTTACTTTCTCCACTAGGCCACCACCCCGGTGATTACTTATCTCTGGAATTAAAACTTAAAACGTATCACCAACATACTTATACTTTTCTTTTCATTTCTTTTTTAATTTAAAAAAATTACTTTTCCAACTGTAATCTCTATCAATACTTTCTATTTTTCTTCATATATTTTAAATATTCATTTTTTATTAAAAATATTTTTTCTCAATTTCTTCACCCTTTAAAGAAGAAGTACAATAAGAAATGAGAGAGTAACTACATATAATTCGTTTTCGGTTATCAAAAAAAATAACATAATTTTATTTTTTTGGGGGGGAATTTCTTCCACTTTAGCTATTCACCAAATTTGCTTGTTGATCTTGAAGCCTCAATGGACATCTTGTTTCCAAAAATAAATGCCAGTGGTGTGCTGCATTGATCAGCCTCATCACAATTCTAATCTGAGTTATGAAGAGCCACACTTTGCCAGTTACTTTTATTGAGATCAAAATGGTTAGGTCACCACATCCAAGGATCACATTTTCTCATATTAGATCAACAGCTATATCATTTGTTAGGCCATTGCCCTCTACCTATAACCAATCAAACCAACAAACACAGAGCCAGAACACAAACCAACTTACACAGAGAACTTGCTTGCTCCGATGAGCGAGTGTGAAAGTTGCACAAAGTAGTTGTTTGTAGTTCTCAGAAAAGAAGTACAAAGTCAGGTTTTCCAACACACAGACTGATACGAGTACCAAGCAATAATGTAAACAGAACCTTGTTACCTTTCTTGACAAGGACTAGGAAACTAGGAAACTAGGCAACACAAAAATAAAAAGCCAAGTTATAAGCAGATCATGCACAATGAATCCTTCTTTTTAGATAGAAACATAGATTACTTGTTGGTTTTGGAGATTTCTAGGAAGAGAGAATAAAACAAGCCCCAGAAAGTTTGAGGTTTTTTTTCCTGCTATGATATCATTACATAACCCACAATTCAATCAAAATCCAATATCATGAGCTACAGAACTCCCCAAATCTAAACTCATTGTGAGTATCGAAAACAGAATACCAAATACTGAGTACGGAACACTGAAGACAGCTTCTCTACAGAATTGCCACATCCAAGTAATCTCCGATCTGTAAAAATGTCGGACACAAGTTAGTAATAAAATTCAAGACAGCAATGTAAGTAGGTCGCAAGAGGATGTTTCTGTACCTGGAAGCTAAGTTCACCCAATGCCTTGCCACCACTGTCAGGTCGTCTCCCATTTGGATAAGAATAGGTTCTCCCCACCTTCACAAAAAATAAAATAAAAATAAAAATAAAATCAACTCATCATTATGATGTGTTTTATGAAATATTATGAAAAGAGCATAAGTGCATGCAATAATATTTTAAATGCCTAACGGCGAAATGTGAATCTCAACATGAACCCAAAACCAGCACAAATCAAATTGGTCATTTTAGGGATTCTAAGAGGGATGTAGTTGAGTATTTACAGCCCTTATTTTTAAGTACTTACAACTCTCACGTTTAGAAGTAACTGGCATATTACTCAGAAGTTGCGATCCAAATCCACTTATTACACCACGCATGTGAACATGTATGTCCACAACTAAGTCTGTGTGTGCTTAATCATACAATCGTGACCTTAACCAGGCTATACACCTGTCCTGTTCTTCATAGGCTACCAAGCATTCCAGTCCAATCACAAAGAAACTGGATATGAACAGTTATTACCAACTTCAACCTCAACTTTAAATTTAGAGGTGATCTCAAATCAGGACTTGGCTGGAAAAATATTGCAAGGAAAACTATACGTGTCATTGCTTCACAGCCAGTTTAGACATGATTCAGTGTGTGAGAGAGAGGCACCTCTTTAACCACAAAACGTCCATGTTTATCAGGATATACAAATGCAAAGGACAGTACTGCATCTCTTCTTCTTGCTTCTGGAGCTACCTCTTTAACCTGGAAAACACCCCCAATCAATGTGAGGACTCAGTGCATTATAAAGACATTGTTGAGCAGGAAGATTAAATATAATATGAAATATTGAATGGAATATAGAAAGGGCACGTTTCTTTTTGATAGGAAAAAGGGCCGGCTCTCAACCTTTTGGGCCCAGAGCGAGCTTTCAAGTTGGGGCCCTTATACCTCACACACACAAAATAAAAATTAAAACAGGTTTTATATTTTATTTGTTCTTTCTTCTTGATAGGAAAAAGGGCCAGCTCTCAAACTTTCAGGGCCCAAAGCGAGCTTTCAAGTTGGGTTATACCTTGCACACACACAAAATAAAAATTAAAAAAATAATAATTATTAATACTAGCAAGTACTCACAAGTTTTTTTTATTTGTTGAGTATATTTTAATGAAATTTAGTTGCATAGACTAAAATCTCGAGGAATAATTAGATGTTTTCTTTCTTTTTCTTTTCATTCTCTAATTGCTTAGATGTTTTCTTTCTTTTTCTTTTTCTTTTGGGCCCTTTGCTTCTAGTTTGAGCTTTGAGTGAGTATGTTAATTTTGGATCCATATAAGAGTTGGAAATTTTGGGGCCCTAAATTTAGTCTAAATTTTGGGGCCCAAATCAATTGCTTTGTGGGCTAATGCCCAAGGCCAGCCCTGATAGGAAACATTAAGCGGGTCCGAAGAAGTGAATTGGCACTCATCTTATTACCTCGTTCATATGAAGACCAACACCGAGTTGGTGAAAGGAAGACTTGTTATCTGCTTTATTGTTTGTGTAGACTTCAACCAATCTAGAAATAAATGACACACCAAATCCTGGCTGACTTAAACCAAATCAAACCTGTGCCCAAGTAATCTGATAATTGAATTTCCCAAACAGCCTCCAAACTAGTAATGTAACCACAATTTTATTTTTGCAATGCCCGCAGCTGAGGCACTATTTTTGTTCCTGCATTATTTGTCTTTTGAAAGTTTATCTACATCGTTGCACAGTAAATCACCATGAGCAACAATCATTGGCGGCCATATGCACTAAAGCATGTTAACGGAGCAAGGGGATTACACTGATTTCAATCAATTTCAATTATAATAAAATACACATGAAAATGTCATATTTCATTGCCTTACTGGTGTTAGTGCCACAAACACTAGAAAATATTATTTTGTTAACACAAACCCTATGAAGCATGGGTACGGTACGAGTACTGGTACTAGTACGATATAGGTACGTCGATACGGTAAAATCCAAAAAAAGTAGGGTATGGGAACAGTTTAGCACGCTTGTAAAAAAATATTTATTTTTAATTTAGAATAAAGCAAAAATTAGTTAAATGGTTTAATTTGTTAAGATTCAACCTACAATTAATATTTAATGCCAAAAGTAAAAGTATAAATCAAAATTAAATGTCAATATATTTTACAAACCATAGTTTAATTTTAAAAACATGCTGAGTATAAAACTAAAAATAAAAGAGAAGTCTAGTTAAAGGAGTCTTATCTCTGTAATAGAAAAAAATATTGTTTCAACTGAGGTACAACACGGCTTGGATATATAGTAGGTAAGTTTGGGTACGCCAAAAATTAAGAAGAAAAAATTTGGGTATGTGTTTCGTGTATACCTGGTACGTATGCAAAAGTACCATACGAGATACCATATGCCGGTAAGTACTCGATATGGATACGGCATATTTTTTGAAGTACCCATAACCCATATATATACCCATAGACATGCACACATAGGCAAAAATATAAAAGAAGAAAGCAATGGAGAAGTTAAAATACAAAATATTGTTTCAACATACCAGATCAGTTAACTCACGGAGAGTAGCATCCTTCCACGTATAAATTTGGACCTCATCTTTTGGCTCCTTGCCTCTCACTGCAAAGTCTGAATCAGTATGATGACCTCCAATCTGCAGAAAATCAAGGCTTCTTAATCTCCCTTTCTAACCACAAATAGCAATTCTACAATAAATTTAACGGGAAGGAAAAAGCAGGTCAGCAGCCAAGTAATGATGTTATTACAAATTTACAACTTCAGCCTATAAAAAGAAAACAATGGGATCTAAGCCAAAGAAGATAAAGAACACTAAATCAAGTAGTTTATCAAAAAAAAGGGAGACCACGGTCAACCTTTATCAAGATGTATGGCCTTAGAATGTCACGTAATTCGCATTTCTAGAACAAGATTAAACTGGGTAGAAAAGAAAAAAGGTAGATGGCATTAACTGAGACACATATTTCACTGCCTAAATGCCTTCGCTTTTTGACAGGCATAATTACACATAATAAAAATAAAAGAAAGAGAATAAGAAAAAACTCCTAAAATCAAAAAGTGAACTCTCTCCCACAAGGCAACCATTTTAGCTATGAATTTAAATCCTAACAAGTGCTCTTCCTCAATAAGGTGAAATTCATGTGGCCAATAGTTGTATGCTTAACACACAATGTTGTTGCAAAAAATTATGAGGCATAAGCAACATAACTTTTAAGTAGACGCAAAAGAAAGAAAACATGCAAGTAGGTTTTTTCATAACAACAATATTCCACATTTGAAAAGTGCACATACCTTTGTGAAGACTCGGAGTAATAAAGGACAAGTCTGCAAATTAATGGAACAAAATAGAAAATTATGTCAATATAAATAGAAAATAAATTCATCTAAAAATAAATCTTAACTAATCCTCATAAAGATGAAAATCAAAAGTATAAAAAGTCGAACACCAGCATGACTGTGATGAGATGAACCCATACTCTTTTCCCTCCTTTTTTTCTTTTTTTTTTGGGTGTACATTGTGCACAGATGGGTTAAGAGTGTGGTGGTGTTACTGAAACTAGCTTATATATCTTTCTATGGAATAGAAAATCTATGGGTTCTGGCAACAGCCCAGATACCCAGTTTAAAAATCCAACTATCACCTCATTTGTTAGCTTTGTCTCTTCAATGTTGAGGCACCAGAATTATAAAACATTGTAATTTTTCATCTATCTCACTCCATACAGACATGTTCTTTTTATCCCTTATCAATGTCTTGCTTCCAAAACAATAAATTCTACATTCCCATTCAAAATTACATAAAGAGGTAGCAGTGTGTTCTGTTTCTCTTTTCAATAAACTTATGCACTAGAAGAAAAATCTAATCCTCGCTCTAGCTTCGTGTTTTGATCAATAATTAGATCAATGTAATTGCTTTCTTTTCTTCTTCTTTTTTGCAATGTTTCAGCTTCTTTCTTGTTTCTTGGTCCAATTTTCAGCTTATTTCACTCTTGTTTTTGGCTTTCAAATTCTAATAGACTTCATAACGAAAGAGAACAAGGAAAAACTCCTAAAAGCAAGAAATTGAATCAGAATTTAACCACACACAACACAATGAACTTAAAACCCTAGAAAACCAACAAAGAACAGTCATGCTTTAAACCCTAGAAACCCCATAAAAACATAAATTGAAAGCTAGAGTGAAAGAGAGAGAGAGAGAACCTTCTCGCGATCAACAGGTTCGAATCGAGTGGCGTTCTTAGGTGGATGAGGAGGTGGCCCTGGTAGACCCCCTCTCGCCGGAGGGAGTGGTCTTCCTTGCCTTCTCTGCGTTTCAACTCCGGCCATCTCTCTCTCTCTCTCTCGCTCTCACTCACTGAAGCTCTGGTTCGGTTCGCTGATTCAATTTATAGCGGCCAAAGCCCGGCCCATACACTGAGGCTATACATTTTGGTCTAAGGCAATCTGGCCGAATTTGATAATGTCTTATTTGATACATGGGCAAACTTCACTTTAATCGATAGTTTGGGCCATGTGATTTATTCCCTAACGCTAGAAATGACGACATAATTTCAACATGACCTTTAAAATAAATGACAAATATATAGAAGTATTTTTTGTCTTTTTTTATTAAATCGTTAACAAACCTAACGATGCACTTTAGTCCACAAAAATAATGTGGGGACTGTGTGGTCATAGTCAAATGTTGGGGGTAAACTGCAAATGATCCAAACTACGGGGATAAGTGAAATTTGCCCTTGATATATTGAGAAAATTTTGGTACACAAAATTCAATAATAGAAAAAGGACAAATTATATTGGTAGTTTTGACATTTTATTTCTTGTATCATTTTGGTTCCTATACTTTCAATTGGCTCAATTTTTATCCTTAATTTTAAATTTTGGATCACTTTGATCCAATTCATAATATCGTTAGTATTTTTGACAGAAAATGATTATTGGATTGGTTAAGGTTAACTTATTGTGTTTAGAAAACTTATAATTTTGCCTCTAAAATTATGACACATATCACTTATGTGTATATTTTCTAGTAAAAATTGTTAGTAGTTGTAATCAATTTGACTAAATTGAGATTGAACTATAGATTCAGGGTCAAAATAGAGTCAATTAGAATAACAGGGACCAAAAGTGTGACGTCCCAAGTTTCGGGAACATCAAGGAAATATAATACAACAATACATTAGCGGATATACATTATTATACAGATAATTAAGCATAAAATAATAATAATTACATTAAAAGAAAATTTAATAATAGCATATCAGTTTTCTTAATACAAAAAGATTATCCAAAATACATAAAATAGAAAATCTAATCTCTAGGGTAGCCATGGTTCTTCATAGTTTTCAAGGATTCCGCCTTCGATGTAAAACTCGTCTTTACCTGAAATAAAATGCCATGAGCTTGGAATATCTAGTAAACACGCACACACCCCATTCATTTTCCCATTCCAAATGGCACGATCATAATATATAGCGGAAGCAATAATCAAGCAGAGTTTATAATAAATTTCAGTTTTCAAGAATAACAGTCAATGAAGTTAGTTCTAGGCAACTCACCACTAAATGTCATTCCTACCCAACCACTAACACTAGCCATGGGCAATTCTAGCTCCTCATTAATTAAAACAAATACCAATACGTCGCTTACAGCATAACCACTAATGTATCGCATACCGCACAATTATCAATGATGCCTATGAACCTAGGTTACATATCTGAGTGGTGACATCATGGTCTGTCCTAAGAGAACGAGCTTCCAGGGATACTCTCCCTGTGTAAGACCCTCACTGCCACGTTTATACCTCTCAATTCCATTAAGCAGCCAGAATACCTCACGTTCTACGTTAGGATTCGAAAACACACTTGCACAAAACTTCACCAAAATGGAACACATTCCATTATATTAATTTATACTTTTGAATCTATCATTCATTATCTCATAAAATTTACTACAATAATCGTAACTTATTACCACCCCATTTGATTTCCCTTTTATTAAATACATTATGTTCTCGGTTAGAGCATAGCATGGTCAAGACAAATACATATCCAAACTAAACATGAAACGATTTATGCATGGTAAAACAAGTTCACAATTTATCATAAATTACATATCAAGGCCTAAAAATTCAAGAAACATAACATGTAAGAGCTGTAAACCAAATAAGAGCACATTAACACAAATTTCTAGATTTTTATATCTGAACGATTTGAAAATAATTATGGAAAAAATAATTTTATTGGCTCTAAGTTCCTAGCCTCATGTGAGTTTTTAGATAAATGAGTCTAGTTTCAAACTCAATTTATAAAAGTATGATAGGTATTTCAGATTTTAAGATAATTCAAAATTACCAAACTTTGTCCAGATTCATTGATTGTTACGAAAATCAATTTTTCTCTCAAACTACTTACTCACTCGAGTTCAAACAAATTTTACTTGAAAGATAATGTCAAAATTAAGATTTTGACGTAAAAATAGACTCAAGATTATTTTTTGAAATTTTTCTAAAAATAGAGAAAGTTGACTCTTTTTTTTCTAGTTCTATGAGTAACAAACTTAGAAAATTTGTTTAGGTTATAAAAATACATCCTTAGGTCCTACCAAAATTTTCACATACTCTAAACATACCAAATAGTACCCCATAGAAAAGATTTTGAGTTTATGGAGGTTTGATAGGAAAATAAATTCAAGAAAGAGAAAAGAAATGCTGCTAAAAATTTAAGAAAGAAGGAAAAACACATCATTTCTTGATTAATACACATTTATACAAGAGTGTAAACCTAAAATAAAACATATATATACAAATAACATGTATTAGAAAAGGAAAAACAAGTGGTAAAAGAATTTAAGAGAAGAGGTGATGTAGGTTTTCCTTAAATGCATAAGGCTTAAGTATTTCTTCTAATTTTCCTTTTCTCCCTCTCTCTCTCTCTTTCTCCCTCTTTTATTTTTTTCCTCTCTCTAATCTTTTACACTCTGCTCCAACAAAATAGCAATGGAAAGGAAGGGGAATCACTCATTTATATTAAAAAAAATGTGATGAATTGACCATTTTGACCTTGGTTGGTTTTTAATAAATTTGATTTGGATTTAGTTGAAATGGAATGGAATAAAGGATGGATTTCCTTGAAATTAGTCAAGACCCCCCTCTTGCTCAATTCATCCGGCTACCTCACTCCCTTAGGTATGAAGTAGGGTTGAGTATGGTCCGGATTGATCCGGATTGGGGTAAAATCAGGACCAATCCGTTATCTATGGTTCTTGAAAAATTGGAACCAATCCAATCCGTTTAAACTGTGGAACCAATCCGAACCAATTTATTTAAACACGGATTGGATCGGTTTAGGACCACAGATTCACATATTTAAATAATAAAAAAAATATAGAACATTTTAATGTCTAAAAAACATAACCATAGCAAAGTTCTCGTAAAACTGGATATACATTACACAAAGCAGAGTGTTGGATTGTATTAAATGTGACAAAATAGAACAGAACATGATAGAACAAAACATTCATCAAATGTGACAAAATAATAATATGGCTTAAAAACAAAATAGAACAGAACATTCATCAAATGTGACAAATCTGGGACTAGAAAAATCAGCAAACAAAACATGATTCCCACAAAAACAAAATATAAGAGTTATCAAATAATAATATGGCTTAAAAAACAGAGCAATCAAACATATCAAAAATGTTATTCATTAGCAAAGACATAAAAGCACAAGATGGAAAAATCATCAAACAGATTTATTCATCAAATGTGACAAATCTAGGGCTGGAAAAATCAACAAACAGAATATGATTCCCACAAAAACAAAATATAATATATATATATATATATACCGAGAGAGAGAGAGAGAGAGAGAGAGAGAGAGAGAGCTATAACTACTGATCTGAAATGGATAATGATCGGAGATGGAGGATTTGAGAGTGTTTGAGAAAGAGAGAAGAGAGAGAGAAAGAGAGAGTGAGTAGCGCAAGAGGGAGAGAAGAGAGTGTGAAAGGTAGTGAGCGAGTGACGTGTAAGGTTGAAGATCTGAGATGTATGATTGGAGATAGAGGATCTAAGAATGTCTGAGAAAGAGAAGAGAAAGAGAATACTGAGAGAGAGACATGAGAGTGTGAGAGGTAGTGAGTGAGTGAGCGGCGTGTGAGGTTGAAGATCTGAGATGGATGATCAAAGATGGATAAGAAAGAGAAGAGAGAGAGAGAGAGAATACCAGAAGAGAGAGATGAAAGTGTGAGAGGCAACAGTGAGTGAGTGAGCTGAGCGATGCGTAAGGTGAATAAGCGTTAGTGTTTAGCTTTTATGTGAAACAAGAAATGATATTATGTGGGAAGGTATATGGTATAAATATAGACTATATCTATACGGTCCGGCCTACGGATTTTTAAATTTCTAATCCGGAACCGAACCATAGATTCAAAAAACCATTCCAATCCTATCGGATTAGACTGGACCAGATCGGATTATGGATTATACAGATTCCTTACTCAGCCCTAGTATGAAGCGTATTATTATATGCATTTATAGGAGATATGATGTGTATATAAAATAATATGAGAGATAGTTAGTACATTATACATTAATAAATTCAAGAAAGGATCCAATTGCAATAAAATAAAAAGGAGAAGGATCAAATTTTAAATTTTGATAAATTATCATTTATTATTAACATATAATTTTTAGAAAATATTTAAAATAATATATTCGGATCCTGTCGAATTAAATCGCAAAGAAATGCGAGAAACAGAGCGAAAATGGCTTTATCGGAAATTAAGATTTTTAAGCAATTAATCTATAATTAGAGGGTCGAATAATTAATATTAGGATTTTAAAAGTGATTACTAACTTATTGGAATCGATTAGGGTTTACTCAGATTAATCTGTAATGCTTCCTAATTCTATAGGGTTTAAAACGTGATTAAACAAAAATTTAAGGACTATAAATAAACTCAAGATTAGAAATTTAAAAGTCATTACAAAAATTAGAATTTCTACCAAAAGTGACACAATGATTAAAATACAGAAACTATCGAACTTAATTTGCCCATTGAAAAATATAGGGTAACTTAGACTAGTAACACCCCATGAGGTTTCTATTTGATATAGATTCCTCCTCATATTTGAAAAATTACATTTACCCTTTATCAGACTAAAATGATAAATTTGTCCCTTAGCCTTTATATATATAAAATAATACATATATTTTTTTCATGTTATTTCAAGAGAAATAACAATTATCTTTTTTGGTTCAACCCACGCAAAAAATTGAGTTTTTTTTATTATTATTTTTACCATTTTTTTTTAATATTTTAAGAAATTTTTATTTTTTTTATTTTTTAGATAAACCTAATCTAGATATGCTTAAAAGGTATAATATTTTGTGATTTTTTTTAAATTCACCAAATACAAAAAA